TAATTTTGCATTCAATATCCTGTCATCCTTTTCCAGTGAGACTAAAACAATGCCAAATTACAATATTATTGCATTTTACATTGTTGGTCTTTCATAGCTTTATCCACCGTTGCTGAAGAACCCTTGTTACAGAACAAACAAAAGCCAAAGTGAATAGGATGTAAAAAAAAGTTCAACATTTTAATGCATAACAGAAATTAAAGCATGACTCTAGAGTCTTTTGCTTTTTCAACGAATCTTATTACAATGAACAATATCCCCACTCATACTTTTCTAAGATAGGACAACCAAAAGCTATTTTACAAAAGACTTTTTTCCAACATTTCTTACAAACACCACAACATTTTAAAATATGCAGTACAAAATTACACAAGCTCTTCCTTACAGAACATATGAAAAACTGTACACTAAAAACACTATAAATAATGGGAAAAGCTAAAAGTGATGCAATCCCATGATCCAAAGTTTTCCTAGAGGGCTCTGGAGAATGCATAGTTTTCAGCCAGAAAGAAGACTTCTTTGTTTATTGCAAGGCAAGACAATTTAATGTGGCCTCCCTGGATCTGGAACCTGCCTATTGTCTTCTACTACAGCTAGCTTCGTATCCCAGCGAGCATACTTCAACTTAACAGGAGAGGTTGGAGAAAGGTTGGCAAAATGTAGGGAACACTCATCAGTGGGCAGGAGATATGGGGAAAATAGTGGTTCTAAATTTTGTGTGAAACTGATGTAGACACACAAGATAAGCTGTCCTCTTCTATCTTTTTTTCTTTTTTGTACTGTATGTTAGTACACTGAGGCTAATGAGGATGCATTAGATGGGATGGAGCCAATGGTCCTGTTCTGGTCCAACAACTTTAGAAATGAGAAGGAACCATGGTTGATTCAGATTCTCTCCCCTTGTGCTCTGAACAGCTGATCATAGAGCCTTGAAAGCTATCTTCATATTCAAAGTCCACCTGCATAACAAAACCTACTTCCATATGTAATGTCCCTAGTGAGACTTGGGTAAACATTTTGCTCCTGCTTTGAGTTAAAGTAGGCTATGTTCACTGGATTGTTGTAAAACAGGCCAAGAGTTTTACTGTGCAATCAGCTGCAACCAAGGACAATGAGTAAACTTTTGGAATTGTATCATTTCAGACATAAATGGATGGTTGTATGCTCTCACCCACAATCGTCTTCAACAACACATAAACGTAATAAACCAAAGCAACTGCAGGTTTGTGATCACACTAATCACGTGGAATGCAAGAGAAGTGTGTTGAAAGTCCAGTGGAATGACTAAAGCTAGCTTACACCTAAGCAGAAATTTATGCCTACTTCCCACAATTTATATTTCAAACAAATTTTCTCCCACTGAACTCTGGGATAAGAAGAGAGTCCCATGGAGAAAACATAATATTGGGGGACCAACTGTAGGGAGAATTCCACAATAATTTTTGTGCTCTTAAAATGAAACTTATTTACTCAACTTCCTGTTGCCACAAATTATAGGTTCCAATGCATGGATTTAGCAATCCCATCTAGTTTGGTGATCTAATGCCTTGGATCATATCAAACATGTAATCATGATATGATTTGTTCACTTTTGGCTTACCATGGTGTGTGAACCCATCCAACACTTCACTAACGTTGATAGGGATACAAGGGAGGGGGCGAGTTATGCCACATCACTTCCTATCACATGAGTGGGCAGCTATATTAAATCAATTCAATTAATTCTATAATTATGAGGCAGATTTCCACAACCGTGTTGCAATGCATCACTTTGAAGGCCGTCCACATAGAGTCACTGGTGGGATGGCAACAATAAGTATAATGAAGATGCTATTCCAGGAAATTGGTGGGGATGGAGCAGGTGTGGGGCTTGGCTTCACTTCCCCATCTTCCCTGCCTACTAATCAAAACAACTATTTCATTTCCTTCCTGCTTCAGTTTGCCAGCCTTCCTTCCGTCTTAGGAAGTAAAAGATGGCTTACAAAACACCATGTTAAGTCGCAAAGAAACCAAATCACATTCATGATTCTGTTTATGCCCAAACATGGGGATCGCATATTTCTCTACATAGAGAGAGACTTTAGGGAGCACTGAAAAATATCACCATCACCCATCCCATATGAAATGGTAGAATTGAGGGAACATTGTAGTGAATGCAGTCCCTGACCAGAAATTGATTCAGTTCTCCAACAAAGTGGCTCTGAGAAGCTAAAATATTGGGTTCATAAAGAAGGGGGAAAAATAAAATTTGACCATATATAAACATAATTGTATTGTATATTCTTTTCTCTTTTATAATCCTAGCCTTGCCCAATTTATTCCCAGTCTAGGCTTCTGCCCAGTTCTACATACGATAATATTAAATCAGCCAGAAAACACTTTCTATTTCTCAACCTTTTGTGAACATGGCCTTTAGCTCTTCAACTGTCAGTTGACTTCATCTTCCCTCATCCTTAACCACCACCCATACTGGGTCTTAGGACTCCAACTTCATTTTGCTGTGGAAAGAGTTCCCACTTTTCCTCGGAAAAATGACTCCACTGAAGAGAAAAAGAGGTAGACCGGGTTACAGTATCATAATCTATCATTACATTAACCAGAAACAAGAGGCAGTTTACAAAGGCGTTGGCCTGCTTTTCTGAGAAATTTTTCAGAACACAAAAAGTCTACTGAATTAGTTTGTCAGCATTCTCTTTAACAAATATGATGCAACCCCCCTTCTAATATTAGTGATTAAGTGTGAAGACATTTTCTACCCCAAAACCAAGCTATATAACAACATTATCATAGACAAAGCCAGAGGAATGATAGGGTTAAGTTCCCATAAAACAGGATTGGGGCTTGATTGCACAGTTGCGGCCACCACTTTGATTTTTCTGACTTTCTTACCCCATCCCCCCGCACCCCTGGTTTAGAAAGTGCTTTATTTTGGCCCTATCATGCTGTTTCTGCTGGGTGCCAGTTATACTTAATATCATAGAAACTTCATTTCTATGATATTGCATAGAAATTAATCAATTTCTGCATAAAGTAGATTAAATCTTTACCTTCATTAAATGCATATTGAGTCCTGCAGACC